TCATTAAAAAAAAAAAAAAAAAATGGACCATGTTTACTGGTCTGATAAAGCCTGGTGGAATCCCTGAGTTTATGGCCCCTATCTGCTCTTCAGATCTGGAATTAACCTACTCCTGTGGCTTCCAGCCAAACAAAAGACAGGCATATGAACTGAATATTTATATTGGGTAGATATACTCCTCGGAGAGATCAATCATGGGAAAATAGAAGGGCTGTGTGTGCACAGGAAGACAGTTCATGGGGCAGGAATGCATGGAGGGAAGGACACAGGGAAGAGGTGGCTATGGGGAGGGAGCAGGAGGTGAGCTGTTGCATTGTGGGAGATTGTAGTCAATGTCATGAGACAAAGTATATGTGAACTGCTGTACGGAAAACAACTTTGCTCTGTAAACTTTCACCCAAATCATAATAAAATTTTTTAAAAAAATAACCTTCTAAAAAAAGTATTTTTATATAAAATTACCAGGCTGTTGTAAGCTGCCATCAAGATGGCCCTGACTTATGGCAACCCCATGCACAATGGAATGTAATGCTGTCAATTCATTCATCATCCCCATGACAGGCTGAGGATCTAATAATTATGACTCATAGGGTTATCACTGGCTGATATTTGGAAGTAGATCACCAGGCCTTTTTCTTCCTAGTCTGTTTTAGTCTGGAAGTTCTGCTGAAATCCATTCAGCATTATAGCTAGGGAATTTCTGATTCCTCAGAAATGACTGGAAATGTTACACATGATACTCTTACATGTGAAATGTTGCATTATATGTTACCTTTACAAGTCAAATGTTACAAATGTGACACACTGAATGTGATGTCTACAGCTTAGTGGAAAGGGCTTCAGGGCTGAACACACATGTGTATATAAAGAGAAGTGATAAAGTGCAACAGGGATAAGGGGACATCCCTCTCGGGCTAGCTCAGGAGATTATCCTAACTCAGCTGGTCTTGAAAGAATCCCCTACCTTCACTTGTGCTGCTCCTTGTCTATAAATGGTGTGACAATCATCATCTCCCATGATTTATATTAAAAAGAAGGGAAATTGTTTTAAAATGTTTGTCAATGTAAGAGACAAGATGATTCTCATTGTTTTCCAGATGTTTGGATTCCTGACACACAATCCTAAGATTTTCTATGTACTAATGCTTTCTTGTTCCCAGGGCTGACTCCCTAAGTGCTAGAATATTTAATAGGGTCTCAGTGGTTCCTTAGGAACATTTTCCCCAGTATGGTGTGTGGATATCACCTTAGAGATTTCCAGTGAAAATTGAAAAGCAGCAGGCTGTGTTCCTTGGGGACACCTGTCCCCAGAAGCCTTCATAACTTGTACTAATTTGTGTGCATAATGAAAGTGGCTGCTTCTGTAATGATCCTTTAACCCTCCTCTCAGGCTTGCCCCTCTCTGCAGCAGTAGAGGTTTTTCACAAACAGTCAGTAGCTCTTTGAGCTTCTACTATGAAATATTCCCAAATTTCCCCACTCTGTTAAGTTCTAAAGGATATGTGTCCTGTACATATAACCTCTTCCAAGATATCTGTGCCCATTTATGGACTCATCACCGACATGTGCAACTAACTAGAACTTCATGGCCACTATAGTGACCAGGGCTGAGTGGTATGGGTCCCCAAGGGCATTCTTGAGTCACTACCACACAGCCTACCTTGACCCGCCTTCACAGTCACCCTTGGATATGGGTGCTTATATATTCTGCATGAAATATTAGTGCCTAAGGCACTTGTCTGCTAATCAGAAGGCTGGTGGTTCAAACACACTAGCCACTCCTCGGAAGGAAGATGGGACAATCTACTTCCATAGTGGTACTGCCTCGGAAACCCAAGGAAGGGTCGCTATGAGTTGGGTCTGACTCGACGGCACAATAACAACAACAACAACAACAGCTGTGAGTAGGCCCAGATTTATTTCACCCCTGCATGTCCTCTCCTTGTATTCACCCAATTGTCTTAAAGTACTAGGCTATGTTCTGCTTTCTCAACATTCTTTCCCAACCAAAGTAAACCCATTCCTGTCAACTCTGACCCATGGTGACCCCATGTATGGCAGAGTTAGTCTGTGCTCCATAGGGTTTTCAATGGCTGAGTTCTCAGAAGCAGACTGCCCATCTTTCTTCTCAGGTGGCTCTGGGTATAACTGAACTTTCCACCTTTTGGTTAGCAGCTGAGCTCACTAACCATTCCTGCAACCCACGACTCTTAAGCAAACAATTTATAACAATTTCAGAAAATGGAGTGTGTGGGGAGAGAAGCTAAGATGTTGCCTCATCAGTAGAGGGTGCTGGAAGGACACCGGAGGAGGACTGTGCCTGTGTTCCAGATTCCAGTGTGGATCTGTTCTCCAGGCTAGGAGGGGCAGGATTCTCCAATACCAGGAGAGTGCAGGGCACATCCTCCTACCCACAGCACAAGCCTGTACTGCCCAGGTTGCTGTTCCTACACTCTCTCCTGGGCACCACCCTCAGGGCTGGTAAAATATTATTTGGTATTTGACACAAATCATTATCAGTCTTAAACTGTCTGAGACACTAACTAACTCTATTCTATGAAAAAAATAATCCTGAAATATACTGTGTTTCAATACTCCTGGCATTGTAATGTTGCAGTTAGAACCTTGGTTTTCACTTGTGGGCCTTTTAAAATTCAGGGGATTTCTATCTTTATTCTCCATGGGGTGGTTTATGTATAGCAGAACAATCATGCATAAAAGAGAATTCAAGTACCAAAAAAATGTTGTCAGATACTGAGGGAAAAGAACAAAAGCAGAGTGAAGAGATATGCATATTAAAGAATTTCAGTACTGATAAAGAAATTTTTGAATCAAAATTGCTTTTGTTGGTACTTTTGATCAGTTGAACTAGATTATGGGTCAATTCTATTTACTTGCACAGGCATTTATGGGGGCTCTAAATAGGGCAACATAGAATATAGCCATTTAAGTCATGCTTGAATTATAACTTATAAACATCTCATTTATAGAATGCACCATTAAGCAATGAGATATTCCAGTTATTGTTTGGGGGAAAAGTGAGCAGGTATGACTTTTAGGTATTATTGGGCTCAGTAGTTAAAAGAGAGTAGAAGATAAGAAACAAGGAAGGTATTTTTGAGAGTTGACTTAGGAGATAAACTTGTGTGACTTTCTCCTACCCACCCAACAGGTATGTTCACTCTTCCCTCCAGTTCTTAAAAACCAAAGACACCAAACCCACTGCCATCAAGTCGATTCTCACTCATAGTGACCCACATTGGGTTTCCAAGGTGGTAAATCCTTATGGAAGGTAAATTGCCTCGTCTTCCTTCCACAGAGTGGCTGGTGGGTTTGAACCACCACCCTCTGGTTAGCAGTCAAACGCCTTAGGCACTGTGCCACCAGAGCTCCTTCCAATTCTTAATATTTTCCACACTGTCTGAATTTCCATGTTAGATATTCATATTCATTCATTCACATTAAAATCTTCCTCTCAGCACACCCAGAGCTCCTCTACCAAAAAAAAAAAAAAAAAAAAAAACTCACTGCCACAGAGTCAATCCCAACTCATAGTGACCCCCTCCTTGGGTTTCTGAGGTGGTATCTCTATAGAAGTGGATTGTCCAATCTTCCTTTCCAGGATAGGAAGGCACATAACAGCCTTCACAGCCCAGACTTCCTGGCCAGCTCTGCACTGAGACTCACTCAATTGAGAAAGCAGAGCTGTCCCCATATTGTGCTGACATCAATGTTGGTTCATATCCTTCTTAGGAATTTTGGACACCAGGGTCCTTTGGAGGCTAGAGCAAGACTGGTGGGGGTATGGGGAAGCCTAGGACTGAGTCAGGAAAACATGAGACAGAATTCAGGGAATGGCAGAGAGCACAATAAACCCTGGAGCACAATAAACTCAGAGATTGAAATCTACAAGTGTTAGTCCTTTAGGGATAGCACTTTCTCTCACCAGCTCTCCTGACCTGGGATGAATATGCCTCATTTCTTTTCTTCATTAATACCCGTCAATCCTCTAGTTAGTGGTTTACCCTCCCTTCTGCACCTATCCATGGTAACAATCAAAGAATATTTCTTTTTTTGTGAAACCCTTCTCTTGACTTTTTATAATCGTGGTCTCACACAATATTTGTCCTTTTATGATTGACTAACTTCACCCAATATAATGGCCTTTCAGTTCATCCATGTTATGAAGAGTTTGGAATTCTTCATTGTTCTTTAACATTATATAGTATTCTACTGTGTGTATGTTCGATAGTTTGTTGATCCATTCCTCCATTGATAGGCATTTAGGTTGTTTCCAACTTTCCGCTATTGTCAAAAGTGCTGTGATGAACACGGCTGTGGATGTATCTGTTCTCATGCCATGGCTCTTATTTCTCCAGTATATGTACCAGTAGTGGGATTGCTGGATCATGTTATTTCTACTTCCAGTTTTTTAAGGAAGTGTTATATTGTTTTCCACAGTGATTGTACCATTTTACATTTCCACCAGCAGTGTATAATACCCTCATTAAAAAAGAAAAAAAAAAACAAAACTATTTTTAATTTTTAATGTATGATTTCCCTCATTCAAAGAAAGATTTGAGGCAGCTTACAAAAATATAGTAGCACAAATGTAAGTTAGAAAAATAGATGAGGAAATCATGGTGGAAATGAGTAAGGGTAGAAAATAAGCCAGACTGTTTGCATTCACTTGTAGGATGAGGACTTAATAACTGGATCAGAAGTTCTCATCAGCCAAGGCAAAGTGGAAAATTCAAAGAGTATGACACCAGGTCTGGCCTTCTGGAAGTATGGATAGGCATCATAGGTGTCTCAGATATCAAGGGTAAACTGCTATGACATTTCATGAGTGGGAGTCATGTCAGAAAACTGAGTTCTGTTTCCCCCTGTACCCCATGGGCAAGCTATGTCCTTGGGGCCTCAAGTTCATATTCCTTAACAGAAGCGCAACCTGATCAGCAGCCTCCTGGGGGAAGTTTGCCTCTAAGGCAACTACTTACCAGCTCAGAGAAACCACGCACCACCTGGCGCCGCTTGAGATTCGTTTCCCCATCCAGGTTGGTAGTTTCAATGTGGCACAGCCCATCAGGGTCACTGGAGGAAAGGAGCAGGACATCTGCAGGAATGATCTCATTGCAGCGCAGGCGTACAAAGTCCCCCACATGGAGATCCATCCAGTATCGGCTGATGTACCTCTTTTCTTCCCTGGTAAAGAGACATTTGTTAGCAAGGCTGGCAAAGGTAAGTGACTTTCAAATTTGTATGACTGTGCATGGGGCTCATGTAATGTATTTTTCTACTTTGTGTGATGGAAATTTCCATAATAAGTTTATTCTGAAAACAATAATATTCTTAAAGACAGCATACTATTTGATTCTATTTGTATGAAATGTCCAGAAGAGGCAGATCTACTGAGATAGCAAATAAATTATCAGTGGTGAGGGCAGATGAATGGGAGAAACTGATAATGGGTGGAGGGTGTCTTTTTAGGATGATGGAAATGTTCTGGAACTGGATATTGGGGATGGTTGCACAGTGTTAGGAATGTGCTAAATGCCACTGAATTATTCACTTTAGAATGGTCAAAATGGTGAATTTTATATTATGTGAATGCTACCAAAATAAAAAATACTTTAAAAACTTCTAACCATTAAAAAAAAAAGAAGACCGTTTAACCATGTGACAATAGATTTGAATCAGAGGATTAGCCACTTGGCAGCTAGGACAGGAGTATGGGAGCTTAAATTTGAATCCCAGCTCCCTCTCCTCACCTTTAGCCTTGAGATAATCATATGCCTATCCACTCAGCACCACTCAAGATCACATATAGGGCATACCATTTTTATAACAATGTCATCATAGTCAGCCTTCAACACCTGCTACTTATTTTCAACAGACATTTAGAGGAGGATATTATTTGTAAGTTCCTTCTCTAATTTTTTGTTTGCTTTTTTTTGTTTGTTTGCTTGTTTGTTTGTTTTCACCTTGGAAAAATACTCTAGTTTAACCTACATAAGGCATTTTAAAGAGTTCTTTGAAGGGTATTTTATTCATATTTAAATAAGTGAAGAAACATAAACTTATCTCAACATCAATATGCAGTAAGAACTCATCAGGGAATCCTCTGAGTGATGCTGTTTTGGGTAAACCACTAGAAAACATACCACTTTAAATGTCACCTTTTTACTGGTTTCTCCCAATAAACATCATTCCCCTCCTGCTAGCATCAAGCTGCCAATGTGACCACAAATGCATTCTTCCTTCACCAACCAAACATTCTTCAGAATGCCAGGACATTCCTCAAAGTTGCTGCCTAGCTGTGACAAGCCCTGCTGCCTGCTGGCCATGTGCGTTCATTACGGTTAGCCTACTGGTCAAATCACAGCCCTGCCCCGCATTCAAGGTCAGCTCTGACACATGACACAGAAATGGTACCTTCTGTATGGCTTCCTCACTGCCAAGTACACTGGCATCCTCCTTTATTCAATTGAAGAGACACATAGCCTTGATACTTGGTAGATAAAAACAAAATTTAACCATGTTTCTATTTCCTTTTCCTAAGGTCAAACCTTGATTTTATATCATTGGAAGCACTTGCTTTTTAGTCTGCCTTCCTTAACATGACCAATAGTTGGGTTCCTACAGAAAGTATAAAGGATTTGAAACCACCTGCTCTTTCAGAAGAGAATTCCCAAAAGATAAGAGTTTCCAGTAATTTATTCTATAGAATGAATGAGGCAGGCTTGGGTACAATAAGGAGATAGTGGTCCTTGTAGTCATCAGAGGGGTAGGACTCACCTAGGAAGGTACAGATGGAGGGCTTATTGGAAGTGAGGTAGAGGAGAGGAGAAAGAAGAGGAGAAACAGGAGAATGGGGAAGTGGAGGAGGGGTAAAGGGAAGGAAGGCATAGGAGGAGGGAAAGGAGATGGAAGGAAAAGGGGAAAGAAAAAGGGAGAGGGAAGGGGGAAGAGAGAGGATAAATAGGAGACAGGGAGGGGGAATGAGAGGGCAGGAGAGGAGAGAAGGCTGCCACAATACTTTCTATATTCAGTTTATGTTAAAGAGGTTCCATTTGTAAACCTCATTGAAAACAAAGTCATTTGCCACCCTCTTTGTAATCTGAAAACATTAGCTTGACCACTCCATCAGAGTCCTTTCTTAAAGAGATCCTTCCCTAGCAGCTACTATCTAGCCATGGAAATAGCTGGTTGCCCTGCAGTATACAGACTCCTGGAGACTTCCTAGTGGAAGGTCCACATGGCCATAGAAGGCAGCACCTAAGGTGGCTTGATGATCCTGGTCACTTGAGGTATGCTTGTATCTGAATGGGAGTCACCCTACCTGAGAGCAGAGCTGTTCAGGAAGGCTGGAAAGAACACAAGGAGCTCTCGTGGTGTAGTGCCTAAGGCATTTGACTGTTAACCAGAAGGCTGGTGGTCCAAACCCACCAGGCACTCCTTGGAAGAAAGGTTGGGCAATATACTTCCATAGAGATACAGCCTCTGAAACCCAAGGAGGGGTCGCTAAGAGTTAGGTCCAACTCCATGGCAGTTAAGTTTGGTTTTGGTTTTGGTTTTGTTTTTTGGAAAGAACACTGGATTGTTCTGCTAATGGCCTACAGTTAACTGGGGGTGGGGAGCATACTCAAAACCTTCTAAACTCCAGATTCAGGAGGAATTTGCACAAGAAAACCAACATCAGGGAACCCCTTGTCACTTCAGTAGACTATGTGGGCAAGATTCCTTACTAGGGCCAAAGGTCCTGGATTGTTGGGGCTGGAGATCCAGCCCCAAGTACAGGGCCCAAACTACCCATGGAATCACTGCCTCACTCTTCACATTCATATTTATTGTTATGACTCACAAATATATACAGAATGTTTCTCCTTTTTTCAGTTGTTGTTGTTAGGTGTCATTGAGTCATCTCTGACTCATATCAACCCTATGCACAGCAGAATGAAACACTACCCAGACCTGTGCCAGCTTCATGATCCTTGCCATACTGAGTCCATCATTGCAGCTACTGTGTCCATCCATGTTGTTCAGGGTCTTCCACTTCTTCATTGACCTTCTACTTTACCAAGCATGATATCCTTCTCCAGAGAACATTACCTCCTGACAACAAGACCAAAGTAGGTCAGACGAAGTCTGTCCATTCTCATTTCCAAGGAGCATTCCAGCTGCACTTTTTCCAGGACAGATCTGTTAGCGCTTTTAGCAGTCTATGATACTCTTAGCATTCTTCTTCAACACCACAACTAGAAAGCATCAACTCTTCTCCCAACTCATAGTGACCCCTCCTTGGGTTTTCGAGGCAGTATCACTACGGAAGTAGGATTGCCCAACCTTCCTTCCGAGGAGTGGCTGGTGGGTTTGAACCACCAGCCGTCTGGTTAGCAGGCAAGTGACTTAGCCACTATGCTACCAGAGCTCCTCAACTCTTCTCCAGTCTCCCTTCATCATCCAGCTCTCACATGCATAAGGAGCAATTGAAAATACCATGGTTTGGGTTAGGCACACCTTGGTTTTCAAGGAGATATCTTTGCTCTTCATCACTTGAAAGAGGTCTTTTACAGCAGATTTGCACAATGCACTCTTTCTTCTGATATCCTGACTGCTGCTTTCATTGGTTTTGATTGTAGAACCAAGTAATATGAAGTCCTTGACTACTTCAATTTTTTCTCCATCCATCATGAAGCTGTTTATTGGACCATTTGTGAGAATTTTTGTTTTCTTTATATTGAAGTGTAATACATATGATAGACTTTAATCTTCATCAGTAAGTGCTTCAAATCATCCTCATTTTCAGCAAGTAATGTTGCATATCACAGGTTGTTAATGAGTCTTCCTCTAATCCTGATGCCACTTTCTTCTTCATGTAATCCATCTTCTCAGATTATTTGCTCAACATACAAATTGAGTAAGTATGGAGAAAGGACACAAACCTGACGCATGCCCTGTCTGATTTTAAACTATGCAGTATGCCCTTATTCTGTTCAAATGATAGCCTCCTGATCTATGTACAGGTTGTTCATGAGTACAATCAAGTGTTCTGGAATTCCCATTCTTCTCAATGTTATCCATAATTTGTTATGATCCACACAATTGAATGCTTTTGCATAGTCAATAAAACATAAGTAAATATCTTTCCAGTATTCTATGCTTTCAGCTAACAAACATCTGACATCAGTAATGACATCGCTTATGAGTCTACATGTATAGCCATTGTTTATGTTGTTGACAAAAGATATTTGCAATGAATAAATCACTGGTCTTGCAAAATTCTACCGTGTGACCTCCTGCATTAAGTCTATCACCAAGGCCATATTTTTCAACTTTTCCAGGGTGGTATGATATTTGTTTTTCCTCAGTCTTTCCTAGTAAGTCAGCTGGAAGGAATAACAAGTTCCTACCTTTAAGAGGGGATGAGAGGACCCTCACCTTGCAATTATCAACCTGCCTGTGGTTTACTCCACACTCCCTACATGCTCACACAGGAAAAGAACCATGAGAAATTATAAATAAACCTTACCTATTATTACCATAGAATCTTAATAACATTCTTCTTCCAGTGGTAAAATGAATGATTTTGGACTGCCTTGTACTTCTTGAGGCACTCTGGTGGTGTAGTGCCTAAGGCAACTGACTGCTAACCAGAAGGCTGGTGGTTCAAACCCATCAGCCACTTCTAAGAAGGAAGATTGGGCAATCTATTTCTGTAGTGATATCGCTTCAGAAATCCAAGGAGTGTTCACCGCCAGTCAGATCCAACATGACAGCAGTGAGTTTCGTTTGGGTTTTGGTTCTATTTCTTGAGGCCACTGTGCATACTGTTTGGTGGACATGATGCTGAGACCCTTCCTCTCCAAAGGAGAAGCCCCAGGAATTCCTGATATTCCCTGGGCTCTGTGCAAATGCCCTCATTCTAACCCCAACAGGGGAATGCCTATAGCCTATCTTTGTTTCTGTAAGAACCAAAAACTTATCCTAAGATTCATGGGTTGTATTTACATAAATGGCAAGACTTAATATACTAACAATATGTAATACAGTGGATTTGTTTACAGCAAATTTTTTTCAAATTAACTACAAAGTCTGCAACATGACATTTCTTCTAAGGACATCTGCTAGCAAAATGACCCCACCCTTCTCCACTCCTAGTGTACACACCCTGTACAATCTCTTCCTTGAGTGAGGCTGGAACA